TCATCATCACTGATGACGTCACCGGCATCCACATCGTCATCGTCATCATCACTGATGACGTCACCGGCATCCACATCGTCATCGTCATCATCACTGATGACGTCACCGGCATCCGCATCGTCATCGTCATCATCACTGATGACGTCACCGGCATCCACATCGTCATCGTCATCATCACTGATGACGTCACCGGCATCCACATCGTCATCGTCATCATCACTGATGACGTCACCGGCATCCACATCGTCATCGTCATCATCACTGATGACGTCACCGACATCCGCATTGTCATCGTCATCATCACTGATGACGTCATCAGTGACGTCACTGATGTCGTCACCGGCATCCGCATCGTCATCGTCATCATCACTGATGACGTCATCAGCGACGTCACTGATGACGTCACCGACATTCGCATCGTCATCGTCATCATCACTGGTGAAGTCATCAGTGACGTCACTAATGACGTCATCGGTACCCGCATCGTCATCGTCACTGATGACGTCATCAGTGACGTCAGTGATGACATCATCGGCATTGGGGGTCACGTGACCCCCAAGGTAACGTGACCCCCCCCCTGGTTAGTTTAACCCCCCCCCCCAGTGCCCTTCCCTCCTCCTCCTCAAGAGCTGCGCTCTAATTCGGCGTTACAGGGAGTTGTAAGCGGCTTTCATTTTTTGTTTTGTTTTTGTAGTGCGCAATTTTTTTGGAATGTGACTTTTTGTTACGCTGGTCTCCGGACCAGCGTATTGAAACGTCCTTTGTGATAATGCTTTTGGACACCGTTTTAAGCGCGCAGATGGCAGCAGACCATCCGTGAGTACTTGGACAATAAAAGGAAGTTATTTTAACTGTCCTTTATTTTTAATTCGATCATTCGGATAATTCGACCAAATTTCAAGGTCCTGTCGAGGTAGAATTAACGAAAGTTTACTGTACAGTAATCTCTCGTTATAACGAAATCGCTTTTTACGAATTATCGCATTTTTTTAAGTTTGACGTGGTCCCGATCGAAACGCATGCATTTTGAACCGGATTATTCGAAATGTATCGACGGCCAGAGATGTGGAGATGCTTGATACGAAGGACAATCCGCGGAAATTACAGTATGTAAGCCAGCGCAACCCTTCCAAGATGTGCGCAAAAACGCTTAGCTGCGAAAGGTATATCGTCTTTCGCCGCTATAAATGCGCAAGGAGCGTGAAGCACGTGCCTTGCATGCGGAGTGTCTGTCGCACCCACCTCTTAGGAGCCGTGACGCACCTGCCCCTCGATTCTGAGTCAAGGGAGCAAAGAATGCGGGAGATCGCCACTTCGGGTGCTCTGCGCACGCAGAGAAATGCGGCAACGTGTTGAGTGACAGTTCCAACACTTCAAAGTTCACACGGTGCCCGCGGCCCAGTTCTCTTTGGAATCAAGTCAAGGAAGCACATCCCCTGCCGGCGTCCCCCTCTTTGGAAGCACCTTCCCAAGCTATCTATAAAAATAAAAGGAAGAAAAACTCCATCTCACTAACCGTTTAGTACAGCCAAAGCTACAAGGGAGAGAGCGTATGCCAACCTGTTCAAGAGGAGAGAAAGGAGGAATGAGAGAGAAGTGCGGGGTTTTTCTCGTTCCTCCTTTTCTTCCTATTGAACAGGTCAGGATACACCCCCTCCTCTGTAGCTTTGGTTGTACTGTGCTTGACTTGGTGGACTTGGTCACAGCGCATGCGATTCGCATGTTTTCCAGCACACCTTTCCCTTCCCCTCACCAATAATGGCGTCCTCCATCATATCCGCCGATTCACAAGGGGCCCGCGAAACATTAGTGGTTGGGAACCTCTGGTTTAGTGGCCCAGCGGTTCATAAAAGCGGTTGTAAAAAATCGTTCCTGAAGCGGTTGCCAAAAACGCGGTGCGAGTGCAGCGCCGTTCACACATATGCAACCGAGTAAGACCGAGAAAGACCAGACCGGTTTTTAAGCCTCTTGCGACGTCTTAAGACCGGATGCGCTGCAGCGGAGCTCGTCTTAAGACGTCGCAAGAGGCTTAAAAGCCGGTCTGGTCTCTCTCGGTCTTACTCGGTTGCATATGTGTGAACGGCGCTTGAGTCTACACAGCATTTACGGATTGCATGCGCGTCGAGGCAACGTCTTTAATATTGTGTTCTGTGTTGCGAAGGCAGCACAGCCCGTCTGCCGCATGTACAGTAACTGCGTGCAACCTGCTTCACTGCTGATGGCGCCGCCAAAGCCCGCGCAGAAGTGTTTGACCCTGGAACAGAAAGTCAAGCTGATCCAAGAAGTAAAGAGAGGTGGTCGACTGATGATGCAAATTGCGAAGGAATTCAACATCCTGGCATCAACGCTGTCGACGGCTTTTCCCCCGCGCGCATACTTGATGTGCCAGCGGATGACACCGAGATCTGCGACGACCTTTACGGAAGCGCGCACGAGATTGGGGGGGGGGGGGGGGGGGGGGGGGCGGTGCAACTCCCGAAAACGACTTCGACTCGTGTGCGCTTGTGGATGCGGATATCTCGGTTGTCGCTCCCGTCACGGATGCCGAGATCGTGGACCTCGTGTGTGGCCAGGGCCCAGGGTTAAGACAAAAAACCGTCGGATCAGGAACCCCGAGAGGTACCCACGACTAGAGAAACGCGAAACATGCTTCGTCTTCTTTGCAACTAGGTGGAGTGCTGCGGCGGCGATGACAGCCTCATGCAGTGCTTGAGGCAGTTGGAGGAGGATTTTTTAATGCCTGGCAAAAACGCCCGGCAAACTGCTCTCCCATCTTTTTTTCATGTCTCAGTAAGCCTGGCTCATCAGCAAGGTATGTTTCAGGTTGAGGCAGTTGGAGGAGTCGCAGGCAGGATCATGAGGATAGAAGGAGGAAGGAGGGGTCTACCCTCCCCTCAGTACCATTCCCTCGTCCTCCTCAAGAGCTGCGCTCCAATTCGGCGTTACAGGGAGTTGTAAACGCCTTTCATTTTTTTTACACCTATTATTGATCACTGTATGCAAGCACTGGTCATTCCTGATTGACCTCTAATGAGAAAACTTTCAAATAAGCTTTTTTTGATTGTTTATAAACAGAGATGTTTTTGCAAGCGAAAAAAGAGCCGGTCAATTGAGCGTACAGGTTCGCAGTGCCCATACTAGATGGCACTTGTCACGGCACTTATTTTTGATTATGAGTGGGGTATTTAAAGTTAATTTTGAAAAAGAAAATGGAATAAAAATTTCGGAGATCAATGCGGATATGCAAGATTGAGCAGTCGATTGGTTGTACATAGCCAAAGACGCTTGCATTAATATGAAACGCTGTTGGTGTGATGACGTGTTACGGCAATCTATGGGTGGCTCATTCAGAGGGTGTTCAAAATTCCGACACACTTTCTTGTTGCCAGACTTCCAGCAGTGCTGTCTACATTGGCAGCTCCTAGCCCACTTGTCGATGCCAGCACCGCACGTGGTCGCGTGCCGAGCACTCTCATAGTGTTATGGAGAAGTCTTGTGGCCAGCAGCGTGTTGAAGGACTCTGGTAGTGCTTAGGGACAAGGGTGGTCGAGGAACAGTGGGAGCTCTGGTACTCTTGGGAAACCCTGGGTTCCTAGGTGCCTAGTCTGAGATTGCTAACATTACTGATGTTGTTTTGTTTGAACTTGCTATTACTACTATGTGCACTTTGTAGTTAGTATTTTTTCTCTCCCCTCTTTAATGTACTTACCCTGAGGGTATTTGAAATAAATAAAAATTAATTATCCCAATATTTAACAAATTTTACCAGGCTTATTGATGCGGTATTTATTCTGAGGAATGCTTTTGGGACTGAGGTGAAAGGTCTCGGGTAAAATAACAATCAGTATTCTAGGCTTGACATATCAATTTTTATTGTTTTATTTATATTGACAGGCTGGAAAAAAAAAACAAAAAAACTAGACAAGCTTAATTGGGCTGGCAAAGACTGGTAAGCAGAGAATGTGTGATAGGCCTTCCAGGAAAGAAGAGAAGGGCGTTTGAATTACACCGCGCCTCCCGAAGATTCACTCTAGTTTCTGACACATGCCATGAGATGGCACTGCATGACAGGAAAGGCCGCAAAGCGTGCGGCCGCTTCCTTGCGCGCCACATCAAAGACTGCATTTGCGCAGCCCGACCAATAGCCTTGGATTGCTCGGCCGGCAAAGCACTTGGCTCACAATTTCGAGGTGGTGAGTTCAAATTCTCCCAATGGACAGAAGTTAAAAAATTCCCAAATGTCAGTTATGAAATTAGACACATTTTTTCTCTTCTGAATTTTCCAAAACTACAAGCCAATCTAACAGAACTGCGATTTGATCACAGCATGGACAGTTTCTAGTGGGGTGTATCTTCGTCTCTCTTCGAGATGGACCACCAGCCTTGAGAATGAGGACTACCATAAATTTTCCTAGAATGCGAGTGTTATTAGCAGGCCTGAACCCAATGTTTCTAGGTGCTGTCACTAACGCCTTTTTAATTTTTTGGCACAAATATTTTGGGCTGCAACGATCTCGGGTCCAGTGTAACGGAAATGTTAAACGGAAGCGCTACGGCGCCACCTGCAAGCATAACTGGCAGTACCATGACATGTTCAATTAATGTGTGCTTACCCGTCTCTGGTGAGGTTTAAAACCGAGCGTATCACTTTTTCGTCGCATGGCCGTAAGTTTGCTGGTTTGGATGATGCAAGCACGAATTGATTCTTCTGTCGAACTGGTTCTGGTGAACTACACGTTTTAGATGATGTTCGAAATCCTTTCTTGTGCCATACAAGGTTCTTGCATCACTGAAACATGGCAAAGGCTCTCCAGGAGCGCTTGACTGTGTTTTTTAGAAGGGGCAAGGCATTTCCGAGTGGCCAGGACGTTTTCCCGCGACGTCTATAGAGGGGACTTAAACACTCTTATGTTTTTTTGAATGCAGCGTTATATCTTCCGGCTCGAGGTCAAGATTTCCGTGGGACATCAATATAGCGGCCCCTTCTCCTTTCGGCGTAGATTTCAGCGACTGCCAGGATGCCGACGGAGCGACTCGGGAGACGAGGAGAGGGGAGGACGGGGTGGACGCGGAGGCAAACTCTTCAGAGGGGGCATCCCCGGGCACCCCGGTGTCCCCCCTGGACGTGGGGGACGCGGCGTACCTGCAGGCGGCGGCCAACTGGGCTTCCCGGGCCCACTCGAGCGAGGCCCAAGGCGATTTCCTGGGAGCCTTCACCCACTACAAGGCGGCCGTGGGCGCCCTGTTGGAGGGGGTGCAGGGTAAGTGCGCTGCCCCAGGGTTACCCTGGGTTTGCACCGAGGTTGCCCCGTAATTGCCCAGGGGTCACCCTGGGTTGCTCGGGGCACCCTAGGCTTGCCCTAGGGTGCCCCCAAGGCAAGCACAAGGTCACCTTGTGGTAACCGTGGCCCTTAGATAAACTTCTCACTGTAGTGCCTGGAACGCATCTTTGACCGGTCTGTTTACCGACCTATCCTGCCCATGCATCAAAAGCGATCTTGAAGTGGCAAGAAACGACGTGACACGAGCCAGTGTGTCATGCCGTTGGACGTTACGATCCTGGTGGTAAGTCGTAGAAATGCTGGCGAAAAAGGCGAGAGAATGCTAGTCTTGGCCGTCGTCACGGCGTCCCAACTCCTGGCTGCCGAAGCTTCCATCGGCTGTCATGTTGTAGAGCAACGTACACCAAACAGGCATCATCTGCCTCAACTGCTGTGCCACCACCAAGGTCACAGCAGACAATGACACGGCGCATTTACGACGACGTCGGGCTGAAAACGAGATGGCAAATACGATCAAGTCGGGGACCCGTTCCAGGCACCATACCGCAGTTGCTTTCACAACTCGCGTTTCCACCGGCAAAAAGAGCCACAAGGGATAGTTAAAGGGGCACCACACTGCCCGAATATGAAATTACATCAAACTCCACTGTTTCAACGGTAGTTTTAGAGAATAAAAGTTTGTGCTATGTTATGTTCGGCGAAAACAAAGTTTTATGCTTTGTCCGTCGCAAACCTTCGTTTTTCCTAGGCGTTGATTAGGACCAGTTTCTTAAAGGCTGAACCGCATGTAAACGATTAAGCGAGCGACAGTGTTAGCAACGAGCGAGATTTCCTACAGTCGCTCGTCGCGTCGCTCGGTTTTTGAATTTCTAGAAATTGTCGCTCATCGCCTGGGTTGCTTGCTCCCGTCGCTTTCTTGCAGTTTGCCTCGTCGCGCGAGTGACCAAGCAACAGCGAAGCAGATCGACATCGCTTGTCTCGTCGCTCGCCAAATCGCCTACATGCAGTTTATACTTTATTCTGCACCGCTCCTGAAAACGTTTTGGTGCGGTGAAATGGCCAATGTTTCAGCGGGTACCATCTGTCGGGAGTCCTGCGGGTGCACGAATCGGCCAGTCGCGCCGTCATTTTGCACCGCGCTTGCTGCACGTATGTTCTCCGCTTGCAGACGATGCTAGACTTTCCAGTTCGAGTTCCTTTAAATACATAGAATTTATGGCACTGACCTTAACACTTTCACGTCCACGGATGTAGCTTCGACGGAGCATGCAGCGGGCAGTCGGCAGCTGCACGGCAGAAGACGAGGAGCGCGGGCCGGAAGCCGGGCATCCGAAAGGGACACCCCGCCCTTCTCATTCTGTCGTCTACTCAATACAGTATAGACCACTTACAACGTAACCGCTTATAGTGCAGGACCGGGTATATCGCGGTTTTTTTAAACCACCGGTTCGCCTCCCATAGAACTCCATGTAATAACATACCGCTTAAAATGCAGGCGCGCAAAGGAAAATACCGGCTATAGTGCGGTTTCTGGCACAGCCCGCCGACGACCAGAGCAGCGAGCACGCTTCCCTGTGCGACACTAGATAACGGCGCTGACGGCGCAAGCGGCACTCGCGGGGCAAGGAGGTTGCTCGAAGGAGCAGGGAGAAGCGAAGAGAGAGGCTTCAGTTACCATAGCGACGGAGGGACGCACGCACGTGTCGTTCACGTGCATGCGTCCCTCCGCTGCCTCCGCTGCATTGGAAACAAACCGCAACGACAGACCAATCGCAGGTCGAGGAGAAGTGTTCGCGCGCGTTGCATGCCGGTCGCGGATCGGCTGCTTCTATCCGCAAACATGGCGTCGGTTGTGATCGTCCTCGTAGGCGGCGTTCATCTCATCGTTCCGCATAAAAGCGCTATCCTTGACTGAATTTTCGTTGTGTGTCGCTATGGTAACCCAGCACATACTAGAAGGGAAGATCCACCTACTCGTGCGGCAATGTCGTGGCGGCGCTCTCAAGATGGCAGAAAAGCCCGTGTCGTCGTGTTTGTTTACTGAGTAAAGCTATACGCACTCCGGAGTGCACTTCGGACGGAAATGGCTATACGCACTCCTCCGAGAGATCATGCCGCTCGGGCCACGCTTTTCGAACGGCGCGTGAATCACTGGGGAGCTCGTTAACCCAGCCCCCCGCCTGCGTTCACGCTGCTTCGCGGCGACAGTATCGGCTGCTAATTACAAAACGTAACCAGTACCAGCCGGCAATCCAAGCCCCGCTGTCCCCGATCGCACCTCCGGAAAGGGAGTCCCATACCATTTAGTTCTGCGAAGTTTCTCAACAACATTCTCTATTTTTTTTTTTTTTTTACTGTTCATCGCAAAAAAAAAAAAATGTAAATATCGCCAAATGCCTCAACAAAACAAAATGTTTGAAAAAAAAAAAAAAAAAAAAAAGTAGGCCCATCGCGGATTGAACCCGCGTCCACTTGCGTATGAAGCGGACTCCTTGACCCCTATGCCATGCCACCACTTAGAAAACTGGTTGTGACCACTCGTTTTATACGAGAAAAGCAGAGTGCCATTTCTGTCCGAAATGCACTCCGGAGTGCGTATAGATTTACTCTTGTTTACTTCAACTACAGTGGTGATTTCTAAGCATTTCTCACCTCGAACATCGCCCGGATTTCTTATTTAACGCATTTCATGCGTGTGCTAAAGTTCAAGGTATTACTGGCGCGTACCGTATGAAGGATGCAAATTTTCACGCGTTTTTGATCTCCGGAGAAAAGTGATTAGGGTTACCAATCCTGAACGCTCGCAACGTCCGTCCGCAACCCGCGACGCCGTTAAAAGGCTGCGCCAGGCAAAAGCCGCTCATTTCTTTCAAAATGTGTGACACACTTGAGACAGGACTGTACTAGTCTGGTGAAATAAAGACTTTCCTCAAACTAAGCTTTCTTTTTCATCTAACATAAAATAAATTCTTTTACAAAGGTAAGTTGTCTCATGGCATGTATTTTGGCCTGAAAAATTGATGTTTTGGTTATAGCGCGGTACCGCTTATAGTGCGGGTTTTCGCGACTCCCGCGACATACGTTATATGTGGTCTACACTGTAGTCGGGGACAGGTTGAGAACGTAGTGGATGCTTTGCCTTTAGCACAGGCTTCCTGCCTCGCACTGGGCTTTGGCAGCGTGTGCATGCTCGGGCTCAAGGGACGCCAAAGAGTCATTCAAGGTAAAAAGCTTGCGCTGGAGGTGGGACAACTGAAGATCCTCCCTATCAATCTCACCTTGTCGGTGGCCAGGCGGGTAAAGACGGGAGCAGAACGCGGCAAGTAGTAACTACTTGTGTTGGTGTTCCCGAGCGAAAGGACGAGAAAGAGAGTGACGGAAGAACGGAAAAAGAAAGCGGACGATAGGTTGGGCAAGTTCGTTTTGCCTCGTCGACTCGGAAGTCGTTCGAGCGCCTATTGACTTTATTTCTTTTTGATATGACGGCGCGACGCCAGTCTTTTTTTGCTGAGACAGTACCAAAAAAGCTAGCAAAACAATTAGTACAGACATTGCGAGTGATGTTTTCTCGCTTCTTTTAGCATATTAAGTGTCGCCGGCAATCTGTACTTATAGCGGCCTCAATGGACGGGACCTTTCCCCCAGGACCATTATATTGACTCCATGGCAACGACTGTAGCTTCCCTCGACTCTCCGCAGGGGACAGGAATGCCAGACGCAGGGACGCGGTGCGACGCAAGACCGCGCAGTACCTGGCCCGGGCGGAGCACATCTACGAGTCGCAGCTGTCTCGGCAGATGGGCGGCGAGCGACGGTGGTCCCTGAGCGCGGCGCCTGTGCCCCAGCCAGCCTTGCCCCTTGGCGCGCCTTCGGGGGCCCCGCTGGGCGGCCGCCCGCTTCCGTTTCTGGGGTCTTCCCTGAGGGGCTCCGTCCGGGAACTGGCCAGGTACAAGGTCATCGGGATCGTCGGGAACGTGCTGCTGGCCCTGGACACCGAGCACAACACCACCGTCGTCATCAAGGTCCGCCTCTCGAATCTCTTCGTAGAGTTGCCGACGAGGTGAGAATGGTGGGGAGGAGCTTTGGTTAACCCGCCTTTGGAGCCAGCTCCCTACCTTCGACGACGTTTCAAGGTCTCGTACACCCCGAGCGCACATGCAGCCAAAGCGCGGCGGAAAGGCGCTCGACAGACGCATCCTGCTCTTCTCATTTTATCGGCGCCTATGGCAGTCTGTAGTCGCCAACAGAATGACGGCGAAAGGGCACGTTATTCAAACGCTCGACCTCGAGAACGTGCTCCACGCCTTCCGCTGTGCTCGCCAGAGGTAGGAAGCTCGTGCCGAAGGCAGGGTGACCGAAGCTCCTCCCTGCCGTTCTCAGCTTGTGGGCGATTACGGAGAAGGAAGTCTAGAAAAGGAAGGAATCTAGACTTATCTGGGCCTGCGGACAATTGCCTGAATACAAGCGCCCAAAAAGCTGCCGCAACAAAACTTGTCATTGAGGTTTTTCGAAAGGCTTTAGAAACGTCTCATGTCGGGCCGATGTCCCCGCGCGTCTTCGACTTTACGGGGCAACTTTTGGAGCATGGTGTTTGACGGCGGCCACGTTGAGGGCGGTTTCGCATGTTTGCACCTAAGCTCGGTCAGTTGCGTCGTGACAGCACGCGACCACCTACGATGAAAAAATGCGCCGGCACCACCTGTCGGGCAGCCCCGGAAACGCTCCCGATCTGCGTGCGACTAGATCGAAGGTTTTGCGGTATTTGCGCTATCAAATCTAACCACCATTTATGAGAAATAGTCACTAATCACAAGGTGACAATTATTTGAAGCCCACCAAAAAAGGACGACGCTTAGAAAAAAGAAATTAAGATATAAACGAAGAAAAAAAGTGGTCCGGGGCCACCGAATAGATCGTGCCAATGCGTCCTTTCATCGTAAGCAGTTGAAGGTGGATGCAGCGTAGCAAGTCGCATTGAAATGCATATGTGTGCACCGTCAACAAAGGGGCGCTAAAGTGGCCTCTGAGATTGCCTATTTGTGGTCATAACTCAAACTACAGCCTCTAGGCATTCTAAAGAGCCTAAGGTTATATCGATACGTGTCTAGCTTCCCCATTAAAAACGGGATCAAAGATAGCGACACTGCTATTTTTTTGTGGCACAGAAACCAGAGGTTTGCCATCGGACGTGCGACGGCCAATCGCGAACGATCGCTTCCCCCGCGGCAAGGGGGTTTGACTAATGGCGGACCGAATTTTCGAAAGCGTGCGGATCGTGTGCGGGAGCCGATCGCACGCTTGACGGCGCTCTCTGGTTTCTGCGCCAAACCGCAAAAATAGGTATGCGTCGCGACCCCCGACCCCATTTCTAATGGGGAAATCGGATGCTCATCGATCAACTTTCGAGTTTTTTTAGGATGCCTACGGCCCGTAGATTGAGTTATGACCGTAAATGGAGACGATTTCAGGAACCACTTTAGTATAGCGCCCCTTTAATCCCGCCGGAATCCGGCGCGCAGGTGTTGCACAAGAGCCCAAGCGGTCCGGCCACCCCCGTGCCGAGCGTGGTCCCGCAGGAGGTTCCACACATGGTAAATCTACTCCGGGTGTACGAGACAGAGAGCGCCCTTTTCCTGGTGCTCGAGTACGCCACGGGCGGACGCCTCTGGGACTACCTGGGCAACTACGTGCGCCGGCACGAGCTCGAGCCCGCGGAGCCCTCTCCCTCCCGTCCCTCCGGCAACGAGGCCGCCGGTGCCTCGCCCCGTCGGGGACGGTCCCCCTGCCCTCCGTCCCGACTCGCTGAAGGTGAGCCCGAGCCCCTCAGGCAAGAGAGAGCTTTCCCTCGGTCACCCGGCCTAGACGTTCCGTCAAATGCGGGGGTTCTTAACAAGCGGCACTTTTTGTCAGAAATGATACACGATCTGGCGCACAGTGAAAGGATTGTGAATGTATAAAGGGCTTCCGTTCGTCGTTGCATCGTGTTTTCTGAAATGCTGCCACGCATGCAGTCTGAAAGGGTGGAGGAGAGGGACGTCATTGGTCGCGCACGCTGCAACGTCAAACCACGGGAGTGTGTCAGCACCTGAGTTGTGTTTTGTTGCCGGCGCTGATGGCCTTGCTTGCTACGGTCGAACCTGCGCGAGCGAGGAGGGTCCGTGGAGGGTTCCTTTATCAAGCTATCTCTTTAAAATGAAAGTTTGGGTTTCACGTGCAAAACTATTGAAGATTATTTTGTGTTCCCCAAAGAAGGACTGAGGAGGACTGCTGTGAACTTTACATCGACTCATTCAGTGCCTAGAACAAAGGTCCTTTAGCTCTTTGATTTCGAGGAAGTCCTATCTGCCTCAATCGACTACCGAGGAACCCCTCCCATACACTGCACTGATGTGATAAAGCAGTGCAGGAGCCTATAGACTTTGTAAACAGTGGTGTACAGGGTAGGGACTGTTTCATTCATGGTTGGTTAGTTAATTAAGTAGCTCTTTTTTCCTCTGTATGCACTGCCATCATTTGATTGAGCATGAAGGCAGATTGCCATGGCAAGATACAAAAGGAACAACAAAAAAGGTTCAATATGTAGCACAACAAACCTAACTACTGAATGGAGAAGTGCTTCAGAAGGATGTGACTGAAAGCAGATGCTGCTTCTAAAATGACAACAGTTTCAGGATGCATCAATGGGTGACATAGGTCTTCTCAAATGGTAGTGCTCAAACTGAAACAACACTTTGTGGCGTGGACGGTTGAGGAGGCAGCTGGGGAGCCCTTAAGGGTATTCTGAGGAACCCCTGTGTTCTAGGAATCCAGATTGAGAACCCGTGTTCTAAACAGTAGCTTGGTCAAACACGTGTTAAGTAGGTGAAAGTGCAGCTTATTGCATAGTTATACCACTATGCATTTCTAAGGACTTCTTAATTTGTCTGTTGCAGAAAAGCCAACCCTGCCACTGCCCTCCGACTGTGATATCGCAAACTGTGATACCCAATGGTCCCTACCGGCTACGCCCGCTCGCGACCAAAGTTCCGTGGACAAAGGGCGGGCGTCGTTGGATGATGCCTTGCCATGCGAATGTAGAAGCCCTAATCAGCTTCTGGTTGACGCATCCACGGGGCCCTCAGCAAGCTTGTCCAAAACTGTACCTGTTCCAGAGGGGTCGGCCACAGCAGTAGACGATAAAACTTTCTCGCCGTCAATCTCAGAACGAGAATCTTCGCTTCTCGACTGGTCTTTGAAAGCCATGACCGTCTCCGACGAGAGATCGTTGCCACAGGAAAAAAGAAAGGATCTTCTGCAAGCTGAAGACAGTGCGAGTGGACAGCCAACAATGCACTTAGCAGACAACGCTTGTTGTTCGGTGCAAAACGTGCACAGTAAAAGATTACTTTCGTGCAAACCGGAAAGGATGTCGGGCATTTTAGGAGAGAGGTTGCCAGATGAGGAGAGCAAGTGCGACGGGGAAGACAGGTGGCCGTCGGCAGACAACGAACCTGTGGAGCGTCGTTTGTCGTACCGGGCGGCGGAAGCGTTCCGCCACCTGGACGGCATGGCCAGGAAGATGGCTCCCCCGCGCCGCCTGCCCGAGGCGTGTGTCCGGCAGTGGGCGGCCGAGATGGCCCTGGCACTGTGCCACCTCCATCGGCTTGGGGTGGTGCGGCAGGATTTGTGCCCCCACGACGTACTCCTGGCAGACGGCGGTGAGTGCAGTGGCTTGGATTTGTGGCCGAGAAACCCAAACTCGAAACCTGTGCGATAGTTTGTTACTTTATTGTCAATCACCCCTGCCCATTTCGATCCGCGTGAGCATTGTACCGGCGTGCGATCGTGTATCACCACTGCTTGACGCTAGTGAAAGACCTCAAGCTAGCGGTGATACTGCACTGGCAAAAGTTTCTCAACTACGGCAGAGATGCCAGACATTCAATTGGGGCCGAATAACTTCCTGCCGTCAAGTATGGGGAACTTACTGGAATCATTCAGGTCTGCTGATTCTACAAGAAGTTCAAAAGGCTACTGCCAACTTTGAATTTATATTGAATGAGGAAAAACATGTTTCCTTGTATGCATGCTGACCGTTTGTCATGGGGGTCTGAGTGCTTAGGGTTCTCCAGTATTGAGGGCTTTGCGTTTTCGTGATTTATTTCTCTTCAAATTCAAGGGTGTTTTTCCATGTATTACTTTAACCCTCAAATTCAGTGTTTTTTCTTTTTCTTATATATAAACTTTTAGTGTTGGTAAAAAAATCGGAATTTGGCGAGTCTTAAGTCGAAGAAAATGGGACACGGATGCGGGATTCCCCTGCCTTCAGGGAACATACGCGCGACCCTGATACTTCGAAAACATTCCTGTACCGACAAGAGAAGGAAATGAGATAAAGCTGTACGGTTCCGTAAAATGATATATAATGTGTGTGGTTTTGAAGAAAAAGCAGCTCCACAGGTTGTTCAAATGACTTCTTCCTGCATAGCTCGGGTTTTCCGATGTTCAAGGACAGCTCCTATTTGGGGTCGTTCAGTTTGTATCGATTTTGGTAAAACCGGCTCAGGGGTTTGTTTTTGTGGTTTATCAATTTTTACTGGGGTGCGTGAATATTAAAATTTTTGAATATGAACTGAATATTAACACTAGAAAAAGCTAGCTTCGAATATTGAATATGTTTCGAATATATGTGTGTTATTAAGAAATAACAAAAGAAAATATGCAAATACTTTTTTTATTAACCTTCAAAAGGGAAAATGATGCTAACAACTTCAAGTAAATGAAACTACCTAACTAGGCAGCATATGAACAATGCAGCTTGTAACATAGCTATTGTACCTTGACTATAGTCAGTTACAGGTTAAGAAGGTAGCGGCGAATGCCCCTCAAAGGGAATCAGATATCCCTCCGCCACCTTTGCATCCAATAGCGTCCCACCGTTTCCGTGACGTCGCGGACAACGCGCGAGGAGGGTCTTGCCGTTCCGTACATATTTGCTTTATCTTTCGACTTTTATTTAGCATTGTGGAAGCCACGAGAAGGAGATTAGAGTTCTCCCCCATCGACGGAAACAAATACGACCTTCGGGGATTAGCTTTCCCCCCGACGGATACAAAGGCTGCTTTCAGGGGCTCGGTTCCCTCTCCGATGAATACAAAGGTCGCTTTCTTAAAAGTGGGATTGGAGACAAGTTGGAATCCATTGAAGCGGAACAAGGAGTGTTTCCAGTGAACTCTTCTTTCGACTGCGGAGAGATTTGAAACGGGCACATCACGCTTGTGGGTGGAGCTTCTCCTACCTTCTTGACTTGTAACCGACTATAGTAATCACCTGTCAACTCTACATGAATGCAGGCAAAAGGTGCAACTGATCAGTTATACAAATTGACAAAATTAAGAGTACAAAACTGGCCATGTCTAGATAGCATGTAAAACAACTTGGAGGATGCTTAAGCTTTGCCTTTAAAGGAGCACTCATGTGAATTCTGAGATTGTCTATTTATTCTCATAATTCAGTCTATGGGCTCTCAGCATCCTAAAAAATCCAAAATTACATTCAAAGGCGGCCAATTTCCCTATTAAAAATCCGATCAAAGATCGTGCCACAGCCCCCTTTCTGCGCTGTGGCGCAGAACACCAGGGTGTGCCGTCGGACAAGAAGGCAACAGGGGAGGGCGTGTGACAGCCAATCACAAGTGACGGCTTCCCGGCGAACTGATTTTTTGGATGAGCACACATTAGAAAAATCAGTCTGCCGCGTGACGTGGGACGTTATGCGTGACGTCACAACAGTCATGTGACGCACTCCCGCTAAATTTTCCCACCATATTTAGCAGAAAATTTTTCCGCCAAATTTAGCGGGTCGATAGAGTCATGACGTCACTGCCACGTGCGACGTCACGTGGCTGGGACGTCATGACCCTATTGACCAATCAGGATTTTCCGGTCCCACCTACGCTGACGCCGATGCCGAATTTTCTGCGACGCAAGCTCCTTAACGCTATCGCGTTAAAATGCAACACACAAACCGGTAGTGACCTTTTTTAAGAAAATAATTGAAATTGCCTTTAAAGGGGCCCTCCGGAGCGTTCTGCGATGGTCTATTTATGGCGGTAACTCAATCTGCGGGCCCTAAGGATCCTAAAAATCACAAAATTACGGTCATGCGCGGCGGATTTCCCTATACTAAAATTGCTATCAAAGTCCCCGGCACGCCCCCCTTTCTGAGATGACCCCGGAAAACGGGAGGGGCATCTCTTTACGCGTCAGCCAATAGCAAGCGAAGGATCCCGGCATCACTGCGCGTCACCAACGCCGCCGACCGCCGACCCGCGGAGGAATCTCTCGAACACGCGCAGACCGTCGTCAAGGAACCCGGACTTTGTGCTCGGCAGTCGTCGTTCGTTGCACCGCACCGTCGCACTGCTACTGCAATACGCAGTCGCATCCCACAGATGACAAGGAAAAGTTTGACTTGTTGACGTGGAAGGATCGCAAAGCTGGCTTCGAAGTCGGGATCCACGGGAAGGAGGAACATGTGTCCCGCAAATACACGCCTGCAGACGCCCCGGGAAGCAGACGAGCCGACGCACCGACGCATCACCCCCTAGCAACAAGCTTGCGGGGAGAAAACATAGTTTGCTGGTTTTGGAGCGATAATTGCGGACTGTGCTTCCCGCACCACAATCAGTTTACGTTTTTCTCAAACTCTAATTTACAACAAGCTTAAAAAGTGTTGCATTCACCGCGGGACGCAGCATTTCCATAGGTCAAGTTTTAGCGATGGGCAGGGAATGGGGGATTGTCTTCCAAGAGAAAATAGTCCCGATATATTTCTTCTGCCATCTGCTTAATAAACGGTTTTGTAATCTAAAACTTTGTATACATATTACCTTCCACCTACTACGCAATATAACAATATAAACAGACGATCGCAGAAAGCTCTGGAGGGCAAGTCGGATATCAGCTGCTAATGCAATTATTGCAAATTATCACACAAGAAAATTAATTGTTCCACATGTTCAGCACATAAGCATTCCCTTTTTGTAGTGACAACTGCTTCTGCAGCAGAAAATAAACTTACTCCTGCAGCAGAAAATATAAGGTCGCTAGAAAAGTGACTCGCAATGCAGGCTGGCAAAACAAAAACCGAAACTGTTCCTTTGTCGTAAGCTAATACGTATAGTTCTACTTATGACGTAAACGGCATATTAAACGGCTTATAACATAAACAGATTATTCGCAATTTGCTTGTATATTCGTACATTGCCCGAATATTCAGCCATAACAGAATATTCTGAAATTTCCCAATTTGCAATTCTCGAATTGAATACAAATCGAATAAGAAAAATATTAGATTCATATTCAAAATCTCGAATATGAGCACACCTCTAGTTTTTGCCGAAAACGCAGAACCCTAGCTGTAATGCAAAAAGAACGCTCGCCTTTGAAGGCAGTTCGTAGGTTTGAAACAACAATAGTATAATATGTGTGCTTTTATTCTTTTTTTTTACTTCTCAGCTCCGCTATTCTTGTTTGTTACCTTTCCTAGTTTTTATAGTTAGTAGTACTTGCAGTGCTTGTGCAAAGAAAACATTTGCTTTATTAAATTCCTTTAGCTTTTTGCATCTTTAGCTTTTTTTTGGAAAAGCTTGCTGCTCTGGCTCTATCTGCATCCTAGCCAAATATCTCTAGGCTATTTAGACCAATAAGTATAAGCTGTCTTCGAAGTCATACAAAGCTTCCAACATGAACAAACTGGCTTAATTTCGAGGCAGTATGCAAGAATGCCAGATTTACACAAAGGCCCATTTACATAATTGCAACTGCTTGAAACCGGTGCCTCGAAACCTCCTAAACTTTCTTACGACGAGAGAACACACTTGCTCCACCTATCTGGCATCAAATCGTAAAAAACTCAGTGGTCCCGTATACTTTCTATCCCTTTCGCATAAATTTCTTTTTTTCTTGGCCCGAAAAACTGTTGTCAATGTTATAAACAACATTTCTCTTAGGTGGTACATACATTTGACCTCGCAAACACCGCAAGACTTTCACTCTAGTGCAATGCAGTTTCGGGGTCACCTCATGGATGGCGCCAGCGTGTCATTGTACTCTCTCTTCGTTATAGATTTTAAGAGGTTTTAAGGCACTCTGTTCTAAGGAGTTGCAAGTGTGTGAAAAGGCCTGAATATTTTCGGTGATATATCCAATCCATATATAGGAGGGCTTTAAAAATTGTGTCATGCGCATGTCCACCCTCACAAGTGTCACTTACCGTATCATGCTGTGGGTCTGTATCAGTAGTGACGTGGTTGGCCAAAGAAAGCTACGTCCCTAAACTAACAATAATGCAAGCTGTCTCTCGCTGTAACATTTGAGAAAGGTGTACTAATTGAATTTGAAGAAACTAGATTGTTTCACTCACCTTCCATACTTCTACGTGGGGAATTTCACAAAGAAAAAGAATCTCGCTCTGCTCTCTGCATTTTTCAGAATTCATTGTCTTTACACATTCGGTACATCTTTTGCTCACACGGTAAATCGTTTTCTATTTCTCTTAACAGGTCACATCGTCCTGACCTACTGCTGTCAGTTCAACTGCGTAGATCGCACTCCGAGCCAGTTTTCCAGAGAGAACCAGTATTCCGCCCCCGGTAAGCTCTCCTGACACATTTTCTCTCTCCTCCACTCTTTGCAATGAAATAGAACGGGGCAAGCTTGGAGTTTTGGCAGTTAAGTACACTTGTAGTGGCCGTAAAACGAGAAGGGCAGGGTGTCTCTTTCAGATGTCCAGCCTCCGGCAAGCGCTTGTTGCCTTTTCCCGCGCATTGGCCGCGTGCGCTCGCTCGAGGCTTGTGGTACGTCAAAGCGTCATCGGTGGTAGGAAACTTGCACCGGAGGCAGGGTAACCGAAACTACTCACCCGCCATTCCCGTCGTGTCGATGACTTTGGTTGCGAAGCTCTACCGGAGGATCGAACGACAAACTTGTATCCCAATACCGCGGTGCCCGAAACGCGTCTCCGATGGGTGCGTTTGCTGCGTCCAAAAAACTGGTCCCTTGATTTCCTCCCAATGACGTCGTAAAAATGTCGCCAGAGAGGAGGTAAAGAAAGAGCTCCACTCTTACCACGACCCTTTTGCGTGTCTCCCGGATTTGCCCAGATGGCGCCGTTCTTCCGGAAGGTCGTGGTAGATTAACCTGTCACTCGAAATTCCTAGAAAAGCAGCTTCCCTCTCTCTCTCTCTCTTTTGTGGTGGTCAAAAGAGTGCGACGTGACGTCGGTGCAAGCCACGTGTACTGCATCACAATCTGTTATAAAAGAGGATGTTGGCTCACTTCACCAACTTGGAAAGTCGCTCGTTGCATTACCGTGTACCGAGTTTATTTTAGTTTCAAGTTCTACGTATGACAAAACTTGGAAAAAACATACTGCCGTGCTAGCTATCTTGGCTTAGTAGCCTTAAAATAAAAAAATTCTAGATATTTTAATAGCATGTCACATTTAATTATTGGGAAGTAACCAGTCTAGGTTGTGGTTCTCCTTGGGGCCACTGCTTTGGGAGTACCACGTTCGCGGCAAGACGCTCTACTGCGAAGCGGGTTCATACTCGCGTGGCATGCTGCTCTTTGAGCGCAATCAGACACCAGTCACTTTGGTAACGGTGATAAACTGTTTATTTACAATGAAACAAATAACAAGAACACAGCGGCTATAAGCTGGTGAACGCCGTTGGTGTGGAGATCGCCCACGGCCGAACGGTCGTTCACAAAGGTACAAAGGACGGGGTAAACGCTCACTGGTGCACCGGACGGTTCCCCGTTGTCGCCGCCGCCGAATCCCAGGAAGAAGAGAGCGGAAATACTGCTGTCTGCTGGTTTTAAGATAACGGCGGGGGCGAAGTGGCCAATCAAGGAGCGACACGTCAATCTCCTTTGTGCGAGGGTTCGTTACGGAAATCGCCCCAAAGGGGGAGAGGAGGAAGCCACTCACAGTGGTAAGCAGCGCCACCTCTCGCTACGTCAGCGCGGCCGCCACGGTGCGCCAAAACGCTGACGCGACAGAATGTTGAGGGATCACAAGCCCCACAAGGTGCAAGCCTGAATTGCCGAAACTAAAGCAAGTGTGCAGGTGAGCTGGTTCACTACTGACATGGTAACCCAGGAGCGGAGGCAAAATGGGACGGACAAAACACAAAGCTTCAAACATGACTGACGAACACGCACTAAACAACAAGTTGTAAGATATTCTTTGCATATATAGTAGCTAGCACAAGATTTCATGTTTAAAGGCAAACATACACTCCACGCTTTCCACTTTTGCCTGCCACCTCCTTTCCTATATCCTTTTCATTTTTTACTTTGCTCTAACTTGGTTCCCCTCGCACTTTAGGAGAGAGGATAGCTAAGATAATTATCTTCCTTGCAGAAAACCGAGGTTGTATGTCAGCCTTTAAGTAACATGTCTGTGCTCTTGAACGAACCTGCTAAAACGTTTCTAAATTCTTATTCTTTGTTTTTTTAGTGTGTGTGTGTTTGGGGGGAAGGGGCATTGATCTAGGTTGAGTAGTTTTTCCTTTGTGTCCAGCAGGCGTGACCTTTTTTTTTATGTTTGGGAATTGTGTGGGTGTGACGTGTGCTTTGGGTTTCTTGTGTTACTGTCCTTGGATAGCTTTTTCCTTAGTGTGCTTGTTGAAAGTGTTCAATCTTTTTCTTCTTTTTTGTTTGGTGTGTACTCTTTTTGGTCGTTGGCCTATTTAAGGATGATTCGGCTTAATAAAACTTCAGCTGTTTGGAGCTTTGTGTTGTCCGTCCTCCCCCCCTCCCCCCCCCCCCCCCCCCCCCCCCCCCCCCCCCCCCCCCCCCCCCCCCCCCTTCCTGGGTTTCCATGTCTGAATTGCTGGTCATGTAGAGCACATATTCTTAAAGTGGTTTCCAGACACAATGGCTGCCAAATTCCCTCGACCGTCACTGATTCTCATGCGAGCTGAGAGATGCATCGATGTATACTTGAGTCAAATACTCCCTTTTTTATCCCTGGTATATGTATTACAGTCAAGCCCGACTATATCGGATCCGTTTACATAGAATTATCCCTTATATCGAACAATTTGTGTGCACAGTAATGTTACAGTGATAATATATAGCAAAAACTATGGTTACATCAAACAAAAATAGCAGCCGCTACCGATATATCGAACTGCCAAGAGCGCCGTTCTGCTTTGCAAGCTCGTTTTTCCCCAACGCGAGCGCCCGATTTAGGAAAAAGCCAGCTTGCAAAACACGCCAGCTTTTTTTTTTTTTTTTTTTGAGCAATCACGTTGATTGCTTGAATGAAGAAAAAAAATCTCTTTTGCGTATTGAGCGGGGAGAGGGAGCTCTTCCGGGCGGTCAACCGCCCAGAGGAAAAAAAAAAGCCAGCTTCGTCTGCTAGCTGGCTTTTCCCCCAACGCAGCCGAATGCCGTAGGGGAAAGCCAACTTGCAGAGCAAAACGGCGCTTTGCAGGAGGTGCTCCTGCTCGGACATGCTCCATGCTCTCGACATAGTTCGGCGCTAATGCGCGAATATAGAAGGCAGCGGCCTCAGCATTTTGGAGTTTGTCGATAACGTAGAAAAATATGGTTATCGCGGATCCAATGAAGAAAAAGCAGAAGATGCAAGGCTATTTCATTGTGTAATATATCAGCAGGATGCAAATTTTTGATAGTCAAATTCATTAAAACTTTTATATCGAATAACCCGCTATATCGAACTGGTAGACATTCTTTTGCGAGTTCGATATAAACGAATTTAACTTGTTTACGAAATTTATTAGCTTCTTGACCGTTTTATTGCAAGAATGCCCTGATGGGGGAAGGGTTCCTGAATGTCCTCCTTGACTGTTCCTCAAGATAGCTAGTTTCCTTGAGGCCAAAACGTTTGAGCCACAAATTCATGAAACAGCACTCTTGTCATGAACTGGGACCACAACAATATCTTTGTATGTTCTTAGTGTACCCATAAGTTACAAGTTGATTGACATTTATTGCCATGTTCCCTGGATTTCCGCTACAAAACTCTTTAAAACATAATTTGTCTTGTCATTTGGTGCTTATTCTTCTGGCCTTCCTTCTTTCACATCATTCTCAGCTGAATACACCTCATTTATTAAACTTTTGATCCTACGCCACTTGGCAAACTGACGTAATTAAAAAGATATAATTAAGTCAAAAAGTTTTCAGCCTTTTCAAGAAGGGAAGAGCAGCGGAGCTGTAGCTTCTGTTCTCAGCGGTGGCTTTCCAGGCGAGCGATCTTCTCTTCTTTTGCAAGGGAATCTGAAGTGCTCGATGCAGCCTTGCGGCGATTGCGGAACCATTTGCGCTGCTGCGCACATCGCCGCTCGTTTCGTTCCCGCTCTTCTTCCTTTGAAAAAACGTTGCCGCCATCTATGAGTGACGGCAGCAACCAGTTCCAGTTGTCTGGTTGCCGAGGCTGGAAAGGTTACCGCGATCTATGAGCGATGGCGGCAAGCGTGGCAAGCAGACAACCGGCAAACACGACACTCTGGACAGGTACCGCCATCTATGAGCGACGGCGGCGACCAGATTGTTGTGTGTACCATGGGTGTCGACATTTGTTTGGTACCGGACACGATCCTGGGGAAACTAGCCCTTAAATTGTAGAGCCGTGAAACAAAAAGGTGTATTTTTTGCCCACAGTGTGCGAAGAAGTAAAAGCAATAGCTGTAGCACAGTCATGCAATCCTGGCAAAATGGTGCCGTCATGTACGTGAGGACAGAGGTGCGACGTGGTTAATTCTCATTGTCATCGTGGTTGGCGTCGTGGATGCCACTGACGACCGCCATGAGTGCTCGGTGATATGTGAAGTAAGTGGTTAAGGCGAGGCATTGCATGCGCGTGTTAGTTCGCAGCGGTGGCCACCGCTGCGAACTCGGGCGGATGAGCACTCGCTTTGCAAATGCAAGCCTCAAACCACCGGCGTCATTAGGAAGAGTGCGCGGCCGTAGGTTTCATAGGTTTCCCTCATGACGTTGAGCGGTGAAGGGAGGGGGTGATGCTGAAGTTGAGTAGAGGGGGGAACGCAAGCGGAGAAACGAGGCGAAGCTCTGCGGGGAAGGTGGCTGCAATGCGACGAGTTTTAGCAGAACGGCTTTACATTTCGAGTTGGGTTCAAGAAGTAGAGACATTATGGCGAAATCGAACACAGTGGAAGTTTCTAAAACCATCCAATATTACGCATAGCTACTGGATATTGCCAAAGTGGGATTTCGTATAATAACACGAGTAATGTTTGAAAACAAGTGATTGAAGCAGACTCTCCCTTATTGCACCGCTACTGGCGGGACGCAAGGGCTCCCCTCTTTCCTGTCTTTGCGCGGCACGGCCAACAGGAAAACCAGACTTCCCTGGCTTTGCGCTAAGAGGGGAGAAAAGGGTTTTTCATAGCAGCGACGACAGCCGACCTCTAAATTTCTGCAGTGTCACCCGTAAAGCCATCGCTTTGAAAGAAGTCTATGCAAGACTGATAGCAAAGAGGAATGGACTATGCATACGGCATTTGGCACCTGTGGCTGTCTTTCATATATAGTTCACACTAGCCTTGTTAGAATCACCAGAGCTAAAGCACATTGAGCCAGCATAAGGTTTGTTACTTCACTTTCATTGATTTATGAGCACTTCAGGAACACTCGTGAATTGTGTCAGACTGAAGACTCCTTTTTAGCCTTTGCGTGTGCAGCTTATGACAGCACTGAACCTATTCAGTGACGTTCTGATGTCTGGATTGATACTATAGTAATATATCTTGATGTTGCATCACTTGCTGCTGTTGCTCAAGGCAGGTGAAAAAGAAATTCGAAAAACCTATTTGAAAATTTACCACTGGATAGAAAGAAAGAACTATTGATCGGACTGTGCACGAAACATTACTGACAAAGTCGCATGTTTGCTTGTTCCTTTCAGAGATTGACCAGCTTGGTCCAGTGACCCCTGCCTGTGATTGGTGGAGCTTTGGGGCCATTTTATACGAGTTGTTTGTAGGAGCGGTAAGTTTCATCAGAATAGTATAGTGGCCAGTGTGCTTTCAGATGTGCAGGGTGTTTCTTTTTGGGCTTTACAAATTTGTTTTAAAAAAGCTGCGTAAGACACGCTAATGCAGTTTGTGCAGGAGAGTTATGCGGCCAGGGGAACATCCCAATAAGTCAAATAAGTAACTAAAATTTGTTGATAAACTTTTTAATTCATGAAAATAGACATAGTTCTAATTAGAAACTTGCTGAGCATCATCGAAAACCACTAAATCTTTCGAAAGACAGAGTATGAGGAAAGAGACTTCTTCCGAAAATTCCTGCATGCAATACTGTGCGCATTGGACTATCGGACTTCTCAGGCCATGGAGAGGGGTGGCATGGTTTCAATTTCGATTGCCCCAATGACGAAGTAGTACATCTCAGCACTGCATAAAAATACAGTCGGCGCTCGCATTGCACCCAATCATCTTCGTAAGAACCCCCCTTGAAACACGGACCTCCGGCGGTCGTAAGGACCTGCCTCGACTTGGCGAGGAGTACAAGTACGGCCTGCCTCGTCGCATGCCTTTCTGGCGGCCTGGTTACAACTCCAAAGTGCAGCACAACCCTCTCGGGTCCCAAATCATTTAAGAAGTCTAGGACATTGAGACGATGGAACAGCACGAGTAGACTTCTACTTCTTCGTGTGTTTACTTGCTCACAAAATCTAGTATGTCGGGAGCCCCCCAAGAAACGTTCCCTAGCATTCTATCCGTATTGGTAGACAACACCTTCAGTATTATAAATTTAAGTAAAGTCGCATATTCGAAAATCCAAGCACTCTACAGTGAAACCCGTTTAGAACGAACCCACATACAGCGAATTATTGTGTATATCGAACTCACAGAGATTTTAAATAAAAATGCATGTAAAAAGTATATTTAATAACGAACAACATATTGGCTATATCAAACTTTTCCCCCTGGGAAGGCTTCCGAAAACGCGTTAGCAATCGCCTTCTAGCCTGTCCCTTCCCGTAAAAAAAGAAGTAGGAAAGAAAGAAAATTCCAAAAGTTCAAGTTGCACACAAAATTGAGCGAAGAGAAGTGATTCAGAAGGGGGAGAAAGCTAAAAAAGATACACTCTGCACGCACGCACAGAAAAAAAAAAAACGTTTCATCCCAAAACGTTTATTCACAAAGAGAAGCAATTCAGAAGGGAAGATAAAAAAAAAAAAACTCTGCACGCATGCAAAAAAAAAAAAGAAAAAAAAAAAAAAGATTTGCCGAGTTGTCACAAGGCGGAAGTGAAGAGATGAGAAAGAAAGAGAAGCTCTCTACCTTACAACGAAGTCATCGTGGAAGTTCGTTGTAAATGTTTTTTGCTATATCGAACTACTTGCTATATCGAACTGATCGTGGCGTTTTCTGCTGTTCGTGATAAACGGGTTTGACTGTATATGGTCGTGACGGGATCTCGCGAGTCGAGGTTGGCTAATCAAAACTGAAACCATGACCAAAGGGTTCCCGAGATACTTTGCGCGGCACTACGCCGCACTGATTGCTTCGATTTCGCAAGAGGTCTAGCGCAGTAGGGCACTAAACTTACTGTACTCATTCAACAGGCTGGGGCGAGAAAATGTGGATGATAAGAAAAGGAGAAACCATGCGGGTGCGTTATCGCACCGGTAGCCTTTCTCCAGCTGCACGAGTAGCAATTTTAGCGCTTCGTCGTGCTTTCCACGTGCTCCAAGTCTCTAATATTGACCGATTTAGTGGTTTTCGATAACCCTTAGCAAGCTCCTAATTAGAATCATGTTTATTTTTAATAATTAAAACATTATTAACAAATGTCAGTTAATTAGCCGACCGATCGCTACGGTTATCCCCTCATACTATGTCCCCTGGCCGTATAACTCGCCTGCACAAACCACATTAGTGTAGCTTTCATGGCTCTTTTTAAACGAATCTGTTAAAAAGAAATGCCCTGTATAGTGGTGTTTACTTTTTAGATCATCGGCTCCCAAACCAGGTTCCTAGGAACCCAGGGGTCCCCCAGAGTGCCATCATGGGTCCCCCGAGGTCCCAAATTATCTCGGGCGTCTCTGCCTCTAAGTAGGGTTCTTTTGCAGTTTAAATTACTCACTGATGCATATGAGCCAAACACTCTAGTACATGTGCATTATACTGTTTACAAGATTCGTAAATTTCTCAACTGCTTTATCGCTTCAATGTCGAGACTGGGAGGAGTTCCTTGGCTCTCTGTCAAGATAGCGAGGCATTCCTCGAGATAAAACTTTTGAGGACTCCATCGTCTGAACAAAAGAGACTTTGTTGCACGTAGCACAGGAGCAAAGTTGCAACTTCTCCAGAGTGCACAAGCCCTCTCGGGAGGAGGGACTTTGGTCCGTACGTTCCGCCCTGCAAACGGAAAAGCAACGTTTGCTGCACCACCGCCGCAAGTGTCACGTTGCTGCAGTCTACCCGTGCCATGGGGAAAGCACACTCCCTAGATTTCACTGCAAAATGAGTGTAGTGTTGATATTCTGACCAACATTCAAACCTTTTAAAGCACAGAATGCTTTTACGGCGACAGCCGTTATTGGCAAGGTTTTGCCGCAGATCCTGGATCATGTTTCGCGTCGATCGTGGCACGGCATAACAGTGTCACACGACCTCGTGCGACACCCTGGAAAATTTGTCCGCTAAATTCAGGGGAAAAGTTTTCTACCAAATTTAGGGGGAAAGTTTTTCCACTAAATTTGGCGGGAAGATATTCCACAGTGTCAAGTGACATCACGAGACTGTGACATCAGGTGACACTGTTGCCACATGATACCGTGATGTCACGTGACACTGCGATGTCACCGTTAATGTACAGCGGAGGGTGCAGCGCCTCAGCTGTCGCCGCAGTCGATTTGTGGGACACGGCAAAGAACCGGCAATATCTAACGGAACCCCCCGCTCCCAGAAATTCGTCTGTTTGTCCATTCGTTTGCTAGCTAAATTTAGCGGGGAGGTTGACGTCACTGTATTGCAACGCCACAACTTGACGCTGTGAGGTCACGTCACGTCGCCACGTCAAGCGACGTCAGTTCGTGTGACCTCAATTTGCCCACTAAATTTAGCGAGGAAATTGACGCCCCATGACCCGATGTCACGCAGTGTGAAGGAAGTGTGGTGCTACCACTAGATGTCAACGCCTTATTAAGGCAAAGGCCTTATATGTAGGGTTTCGTGTTTTCGGTTTTTATTTTTTCAAAATTCGGCATACTTTTTTTGGTGTTGATTTCAAAATTTCAATTTCGTTTTTTTTCGGTGTATATTTAGTCCCAAAAAAGTTTACCGTTTTTTTTTCGGTGAATATTAAAAAACACCATGTCCATTGGACACCGGATCAGATGATCCTTGTAGCTGTGATGTTTGTGATCACTCAAAGAATAACGGCATATGTACATACGTGATCTTCGCTACAACTTCCATTGGGACACAGCTCAAAATCGCGGAATTCGCGGGGGCATAATCTTTAGCGCGCTTCTTTTTCTTTCCCATTCTGACGACGTGACTGTCCGAGGTGATGACCGTAAAAAACCAGCGGAATGGCAAAAAAAAAATACACTGTATTTATGTTTTTAACCAAAGGGAACTTTGAGAGAGGGTGTTAAGAAAGGTATTAACGGCTTTCCTCGATGTCCTCTGAAGTGCAGGAAGCGAAAAACTTTACACTAGCCCATGTCCCGCGAAGTCCAATCCAAGACCTCTTTTGTTGCATGTTGAACCTTGGAAGAGGTCAATCATGAAGACGTCATGCAATTTCGAACCTTGCAAAGCCCACTTGTGGGATTTGCTAGCTACCGACTAACACAGGTACCGATAGAGTAACCAAAGGGTTGTCTCAACAGCGGCGGCGATCTCAAAGGGGGCATCAAACCTAGTAGCACGCGGTCGCCACATCTCCGCGGCAATAGGGACAAACGTTTAGGGCCACATTACCAGCGGGTCGGTTCGATTAATCACCTCCGTCGGTGCCAATGATCGTCTACCTTGTCTCACTCTCTCGAATATAGCGGAAGAGAAGACACACATACCAGAGTAAGGACAGAGTCCAAGAGAATTTATTAGAACCCTCTTAAGATGAACTACAATGTCCCCATCCAAAATGCCCCCTCACGCCGGCAAGGTAAGAAAAGGTCCTTACCTGCCAGACGTGGGGTTCCGGAGAGCCAAGACCGGGAAAGCATCGGAGAAGTCGCCGACGCACGTCCTATCTCTTTCGCGGTCACCCGAACGAGTCCCTTTCCCGAAAGCGGGAAAGCAAGAGGCGAAACCTCCTTGCCTGTCGGCAGTGATTCGCATCCGAGCGGGGGGACGGAAAGAGGTCCCCCCGGGAGAGAGTGAGAGGAGGGTCCCCCAAGCCAGGCGGCCCTCCGCCTCACGAACAGGTCAGAGCTCACGGCGAAGGCGGCCGAGCGTTCCGACCCGCGGCCGTTATCGCAGCTATCGGGGAAGGGAGACCAGAATAATCCCCACATCCCCCCCTCCTTAAAACGGTAGGTGGGTCTCAAGAATAAAGGAGGCCCACCTGCTCTCATAAAATAATACAGTCGAACCTCGATATAACGAACTTCAATGTAACGAAATCCTCGATTTAACGAAGTATTTTATTTTTCATAATTTCTTGCTCATAGACCCCATGTATTTTTAGTCTCTATATAACGAAGTCTATTTTGCTGCTATTTCAATAGAACGAAGCGCCATTGCCATAGAAGGCAATAAATGAATAGACTCTAAAGAACAACTTCGCAAAAAAATTGTGGTTAAAAAAAAATTATGCGCAAACGCGAGCGCTTGATAGGTTTCTTCACGGGGACAGGCCTTCCAACGTTCCTAGGCTGCCCAAGGATGGGGCGCCGGTAGCGCCGGCGAGGCATGCGGCAAAGCGCATTCCGCGGGGCTGGCCAGAAAATGCCGAGCAAAAAGTTAACACGGCATAACAGCACCACCACTGACATTCACTGATCATCATAGTCCACTGTA